CATTGTTGTTCATCAAAGGGGAACCTAAAATACATTTTTTTTAATACATTTTTTGAGAAAGAAATTGTTTGTCTCACCATCTGACATCGATCTGACACATGCTTTTGAATATAGCTGGAGGTTCCCACGTGACTTCTCCGGTATAGTGCAGGGTAGCTTTCGTAGAGATGGTAATGTTATAGTTGCTGTCAGCGCTAAAAAAAGTTCTTCGCGAATTTTCACGGCTACAGCTAGAGGCAGTGTCCGAGCGCGAAAAAAAAAAGATTTTTAATTTGGTAGATTAACTGATGGTCATAATTACAAGATGCATGTAATCTACAAAATAGAAAACATGCGTTAATTTATCTGAAAATCCACCCAAGACCGCCTTCTGGCGCAGATCCGCCCACTCAGCATGTGTGCTCGTTCCGCCTTTAATTCACCACTATTCTCCTACTCTTACATCATGTCCCTTCATCGCCATTATTATTATGCAGAGCGGTGATAATTCATTTTTGAAATTTCTATGTCTTGTGAACTATATGACACTTCTATCTTTTCCTGCGGTGGAAGGAATGAGACGAAAAATGATATGTAATAAAATTTTTTTACAAATACTCAGTTGTCAGGCATCAGCAAAAGATGCAAAAATCAAGGCTAAAAATTATAAAACTGCCGAAACACTGCCTCTACTATGATTATAACTCACTTATTATACAGAACAATGTCAGGAACCCAAATCATCTCATAAGGCACATAGAGCACGCTGACGCCACCGTAGCTTTTCGGATCCCAAGATAACTTCTTGTCGATCCACACTTGCTTCAGCCACACTGAGCATGTCATGATTTGGTCAATTTCGTGCTAAAATAGATTTTTCTAGAAAAAATAAATGTGAGTGTATATGCGCACTTACCACATCTATAATTTGGCTAAGGCGAAGCTTCAGTTTGATCGTCAGCGGTTCATGTGGTCCTGTAGCTGGTCTATAACATTAGCTTGTTAAGAATTGTTGCACTCAAAAATAAATCTGACTTATTGGGAGGATTTTTTCCTCACTTTGCAACCGTGTGGAATGTTGTAGATTTTCTATATATACATTTTGCATGTCTATGAATTTTCGGATTATTTTTGGCAAATTTCAAATTTGCGTTATTGGGAACTTGCACTTTCATCATCAATAGTCCCGGAAGTACATGAAAAATAAAGAAAACTAAAAGGAAGAGTCGGAGTTTTTTTTGGAAAAAATAGGAACTGAATGCAGTCACAAAATCTCATCATAACCTGCAAGTCATGCCCGTAGAGGCAAACAAGGTGCAATGGATAGCCCTTCATCCTTTTCCCTTAGCCAAATGTGAGACTCCGCCAAATTCTGTAGTTTTTTTTTCAGAGGATAACGATGAAGGTAACGAAACTTATGTAACAACTCAATATAGATCAAGTGTCATCATTCATCAGTACAATAACATCAGCTTTCAGCACTATCGATATACAATTCTTTCAAAATCTCCTACTTCGGTAACTTTGCATAGTATGGTCAGAGATATTATTTGGCATGTTGACCGCGAAAATCACTCAACGAGACACTTAAGATTCTGCGAGGTTATGGTAGATGTAAAGATTCTGTGAGGTTATGGTAGATGTACGGTAGGATGAAGGGCAAAGAATTGTGGGCTGATCAACGCGCTTTCAATATCATTCCCATGTCAACGTCAGACCTTATTTTACTTGAATTGGGACACAGTAGATCGACTGTAATCTAACACTAAACCGTTGTGACAAACACTGTTGAATATAGATAATATGAAGCTGATAATGTTTTTA